AGGAAGGAAGGAAGGAAGGAAGGAAGGAAGGAAGGAAGGAAGGAAGGAAGGAAGGAAGAAGGGAGAAAAGCACATACAATGAATGTTCCTCAGAAACAGTACTTACCGAGGTGACAGAAAACTCATACAGAATGTAGTTCTTTTCAGCTACTGCCCCTGAAAGAGAAGGCCAGGGGTCCCTGTCGCGTAGGAAGCAGAGGCGCCTCTTGGCGGGCATTCCTTCGCCCTCTGATTCTGCCTGGCCGCGTTCTACCCGTTTTTGTTGAATCCCTGCAAAGGTTTCCTGGCACCGCAACCCACAGTGGCAGCTCCACCTCCGCACCCGCGGCATGAAGCGCTGTTTCCTGGCCTTTACAGCACTTTGCCTCACGTTACAGTTACCCGCACGCACAGTGTATCTATCCTGCTGCCCAGGAGTTCAAGTGCAATGTCCATGACTTATTCATCCTTATGTCCCCTGCGTGCAGTGCAGTAAAGAATAGCCAATAAATATTAATAAATGCTAATTCTGTGTGGGGCGGGAGTTTTATATAATATCAGACCATAAGCTTATGGGAGGTACTTAGATGGGAATCCCACAGTGGAAAAACACACTAATTAGACCCTTCCCCTCAACACTAACCAAAGGAGTATTGTGCAAATCTATGAGCAAAATGTATTATTTGGTGTGAATCATGATACCCAGAGGAGGGAATATTTAAACTAGACCCAATAATGTCTGTTGCTTTGGTAGAGTCAATAACATACAAGTTGGTCATCTGAAGTCTATTTTAATTGCACTGTGCTTGGCCAGTCAAACCTCAGAATAAATCGATTCTAAGCTACAGAAATCAGCATCAGTGATAACGGGGTGAGCGCCACGCTGGGCGGCCTGCAAGGGCTGACCTAGCACCGCAGTGGGGGCCAGAGGCAGTCTACCTGCAGATGCACCATCGTCCCAGTACAGCTCTCCCTTTGCTTCTCTCTTATAGTCCAAGGCAACAATGAGTCCCAGGGAGTTCTTCCGACTGCAAAAGAGTAACCTCAGTTTCAGAGAATGAAGAAGAGCTAGGACTGCGTTAAACCAGCCCCCTTCATGCCCCACGGGCAGATCATCTAAGAGTCTGTCCCAGAAACTGAGTAGCTCCTGACCTGGAAGCGGGGCGTGGGTAGACAACAAAGCTTAGCAGTGAACAAGCATGAGAAGAATTGTCACAGGAGATGGTTCCTGCGGAAACTGGGTTTGGGATAAGGCCAACAATTAGCACTAGGAGGTGCTTCCCATGTGCCAGGAACTCTTCTAAGTGTTTTGTGTACATTAAATCACTTGTTATTTCATTAAATCCTTATAAAAACTCTAAAAAGTCAAACTATGATCATCCCCGGTTTATAAATGATGAACAGAAACACAGAGAGTAAGTTGCTATTGTAACACATCTGGTATGTTGTGGAACTGGCGCTTGAACCCAAACTTTCTGGCTCTTGACCTTGAAGCTATCTGGACTTTGATCTCCTGTTTAACTTGCATTCTCTCATGCCTAAGGCAATCTCCTTGAGGACAGCTGTTGACCTTAGAGAAATCCTCCTCAGTAATTCATTTGACTGTTCTCATAATCTGATTCAATCCAGAAGTGAAAGACTGTGGAAAAGTAAAGGAACAGAGGCTACATTTACTCCCTAAAAGAACACTAAGATGCCAATTTGAAGCCAACCTTGAAAGGGGAGGAAGGAGACCACTGACTGGAGGTGTCTTCCTTGGCTTTATCCACTTTTGGTCCCTATATTAGCCTTTCCCATAATGCCCTGCCCCTTGGAGCACGAGAGCAGTCACACCTTAGAAGGGTCAGGAGATTACCTGGTCTCCGTGGTTGTGTTTGGCTGTTGGGTGGGAAATATGTAGCCCCCTCGAAGGTGAAGTCCGATCCTATCAGGAGGCAGTAGCATCTCCACCAGTTGTTTCCTCCACTGGATGGCTACTCCCTAACCAACAAAGGAAAACAGATCAGATCATAGGCTGTTTAGGCTAGAAGGGATCTTGGAGATCTAGTTTAGCTGCCTCATTTCAAATAAGAGAAAACAGAGACCCCCTAAAAGGGAAGTGACTTGTCCAAGGCACATAGGTAGTAAGTAGATAGCAAAGCGGAGGCTCCAAGCCACCTTATTTCTTTGTATTACACCATGCTATAATTCCACAGCTGAACTCTAATTCTCTAGGGTATCACAGCCTAAATCCAATGACTGGTCCTGACAGCTGCATGGTGGCCAGGTTGACATAATGAAAATTACCATCAACCTACCCCAGTTATTCAGATTATTTCATGGTACTTAGGGAAAGGCCTTCCACACGGAAAAGTACCCACAATCAACTAAACGTTAAACCTCATACTATCATCCAACCCCAGCTCCCAGCACTGCAGCTGCCTTAGAGCTGTTCTCTGTTGGGGGCAGGTCTCTGGGCCAGGGGGCTGCCTCACTTACTGTCTCATAGTCGTACCAGGTGGCATCTGGTATGTATGCCTTCACTCGGTCCGCGCCCTGGGGAAGCGACAGTAATGAGCAACATTAGCACAGCCCCTTACAGTCTGCACAACACCTCCCTGTGTGGCTACATGTGCTCCTCCCAACAATCCCGAGAGAGAGTTGGGATCCTGCCACTCTACCAATAAAAATACAGATACCCAGAAAGGCCGGGCAGTTTACCCAAGACAGGGCTGTACCAGAAATTAAGTTTGTTTTGCTTTGAGGCTCCTGAACTTTCTAAGAGAAGCAGAGAAAATCCATTCATTGAGTTACTTGTATAATCAGACAGGTGGGAGGAGACTGAAACAGTCAGGAACCCAGGAGAGCCTTCCAGCAGGACCACTCGCTGGTAGTGGGGCCTGCCAAGAGATGGTGTGGCTAAAACACCAGCTCCCAGGGCCTTTGACATGAGTTTATTGGGGACCTTCCATGTTTACAAACTGATCAGTATAATCCTGATCCCGCCCCTCCCCACTCACCGTGGCCCCAAAGCACACTGCATACATGGCCTCCACAGTAACAACCTCCCCTTGCCCGGCCCTCCTCTCTCCCTCCACGCTCCTCTCCCGTCTTTTCTTTCTTCTTAACCCCAAGAGCACATCCCCTCTAATCAAAGGGAAACACAGATGGCCAGCCGGAGGCATTTGAAGCCCCTGTAAATGTCCATATGCTTAAGGACACAGGCTTTAATGTAATCTTGCAAAATAAAAATTGTTTTGCTTGAAGTGGCTGTGGGACCAAGAATTACTATTTTTCTAATTTCCAAAACTTTCATAATCTCTCATGTATATTCATATTTATATTCAAATGCAGCCAAAGATACTCAGGCTCCAGCTGATTCAGCGACAGAGCCATGGGGACAAGTGTGATATCCTGCCCCGCTTAGATTAAAAACACACTTCGTATAAAACAGGCGTGATGAGGAGTCCAGGCCCCCACAGGAACTGCTCGTGCACCTCCCATGTAGCGTTGTCCTGGTAGAACCTGGAAAACAGAGAAGGGGGGTGAGGCCTCCAGCATAGGAGAGCAGCTCATTATATGAAAACAAGGTCCTAATGAGCCTTGTTACTACTAACACGGGAAGAGGAACTCACTCGTGGACCAGGGGCCTGGCTACAGTCTCCCCCAGGGTGTGAGCGCGGTAAAAGAGGGTGTAGAGATAGGGCAGCAGGGTGTAGCGGACCGTCAGGTAATGCCTGGAGGAATTCAACAGCAGGGAGTCCTCACCGAAGGCAGCGGGGTCCTGGTCCTGGGAGGAAGCGTGAGCCATTACTAAAGATTTCCATCGGAGCTTAAAAGTTCCCATTGATAAGGAGCTTCCTGAATGATAGTTGCTGTGGTCTCCAACTTGAATATGTGGGAGCATTTCCAGGATGGAAAGGATCTGGGACCTACCTGCTTCCTCTTTTTATAGGTGAGAAAACCATATCAAAAATAGCACGACTTTCCCAGTGTAAAATCACAAGCAAGTGGCAGAATTTAAATGTGACACACGTCTTCCACCTTTTTTTCTACGGCAGCCTCAGGGTGATAAAGAAACCTAGGAAGCCCGGCCGGTGTCGCTCAGCAGTTGAGCATCAACCTAGGATCCAGAAGATCGCGGTTCGATTCCCGGTCATGCCCTGGGTTTCGGGCTCGATCCCCAGTAGGGGGCGTGCAGGAAGCAGCCAATCAATGACTCCCATCATTGATGTTTCTATCTCTCCCTCTCCCTTCCTCTCTCTGAAATCAGTAAAGACATATTTAAAAAAATAATAATTGTTCCTGTTTCTTCATACTTTTTGGATTTGCATTTAAAAGTCCATGTGTGGCTCTCATTATCGGCACTAGTTGAGAGGAGAGAAGACAGGCACTGGAGGCTGGGAGCCTGAGCCATCCCAGTGCTCTTACCAGCGTTAAGTCCTCCCGGCCATCTCCTCAGGGAGAAAACCCACCTCCCTGCTCCCAGCCACCTGCTTAGAATTCAGAAACAGTTCATCTCTCTCTAGATCACAAACGGCTAGGACAGCCCAGGGATAACATACTTTGAAGATTTGACTGCAAATCTTTCCCAGGTTAGAGACATGTCGCTGGACAAAGTCAAGGACTAGAACTAAAATGATTATCAGTACGTTACTCTAATGAGCCTATTAAGAGCCAAACCACTCCATTTAAAACAGATGCAGATTTCTTCATTAAAAGAGAGGGCATCCCACCCTATTTGCTCCTGCCATCACCACAAATATCTCCTTACAAGGGACTTTGGGCCAATTTCTGCAGACTTGCCCATCGAAAGCATGATCTTGGTTAGAACAGGAGAAAGGTGGGATGTGTCACGAGCAGTAGTGGGGAATGGTCTCCCAAACCACTCATAGAAACATAGATTGTTGTAACAAGGTGAAAAAAATTCAGATCACTGGCCTGCCCCTCCCGAAATCCTTTTTCCTGCTCCCCCATATCTAGGACTGGTTCCCTTGGAATCAGCTGAAGTAAAGTACCAGTGGACTCCAATTGTCACATCGTATATAAGGCGATGACAGAAGTGATAGCAGCACCTTTGTTGGTGAATTTCCCCGGTATCCTGCCTTTTAGGTCTCTCACCCCAAATGTATCTATTTTGCCCCTGCACTTAGAGTATTTTCTTCAGCTCCTCGTTGAGAACCAGGATATTAGATAACCCAAGAAGTTTCCATCACTTCTTTTGGGGACCTTACCCTGAACCCAGGCCCATTGTGATTCCTCGATAGTGGATAAAAGGCTCCAAGCTGCATCCATCTCCTGCAGAGCTCCTCTGTGACATTATTTGTATAGCCACAGATATTGGCACCTACCTGGACAGTAAGCACACATACAAGCACAGTGGTCAGCAAGAGAGAAGAAAGCACTGACTGCATATACCTATGTGATGTCGAAGGGAAGTGAGAATCACTATTCCCATCGCTCCATGCTTAAGGATGTCCCGGGCTTTCAGGGCAATCGCCCAGCCAAATGGAATAATAAAGCCAGTGTGCCATCAAGGACTGATTGATGCGAGGAAGACTGACTGTCATATGTTGTACCAAGGGCTCATCCTCAATATTCAGTTCCCAATTCCATTCTCTGCTATTCATTGGTGCTCTGTTGATGGAATCTTTCTGTGATCCTAATACATTTTACCTGTGGCGTCTCCTTCCTAACTTCAGAGATTCCACGGGTGACCACCCAATGATAAGATGTTACCATCCTATCTTCAGAAAGCAGCTCACACCACACATAAAAATTGATTTTTCCAATACATATCACAGTGAGACATGTGCTCCGTGGTTTTCAGACACCTCAAAGGCTGGTAATGGAAAGAATGTCAAAAGACAAAGGGTGAAAGCTCCATGGTTGAGAGTGAAACTCACCATGGGGATGCCAAATAGGTTGAACTCAAGGATACTTGGAATGGACCATCGAAGATCATCCCACGCAGCTTCATTGTCCCCCAACCAATGAGCAGCAAACTTGCCAGATCCAGCGAAAGTAGAACGGGATAAGATGAAGTTCCTCTTTTTGGAGAAGATAGTCTTCAAGGCCCTGAAAAGGAATACAGTCAGTTGAATGTGAAGTGAGCTGTGAATGCCAAGGACTTACCTATACCCAAGGCAGCCATGGGCTTTCCAAACTGAGAAAAAACATCAGGGTATCGTGGAGGTGAGCAAACTAAATTAGCATTTTTAAGAGCTTCTTTCTCACTTTTAGGTAAGGTTTCAGACCTCCTGTAAGACAGTACACACCTCTATAGTCCAGCACCTCTAAGGAATTTCTCTAGGCTCTTGCCTCCTGAATATTTTTTCTCCACGTTGGGTCTGGTTGTGCTCTGGCCCCTTAGGTCAGCAATATATTGGAACCATTGTTTGTTGACCCCATCTTCTCTCTCTAGAAAAAATGTTTCCAGTGTTCCTTGGTTCCATGCCTTGCTGGTCATTCGCAATCCTGTTTAGCACAACACCAGCTCAGGGCAGAACCCTGTACCTGCTCTTTGCCTAAGAGGAGATTTTTGTACACAGTCTGGGCGCAGGGCACCTGGGTTCCTCTGAAGCTTCAGAACTTATTGTTAGCAATTCCCAATGCTGGGAAATCTTAATCTATGCAAACTAATATTAATTGAAGTGAGTAAATCTCAAGATGGCATATGATACTCTTAATGAAGTTAAAAGCAACTAAAAATATGAAATATTTTCATTGTATTACATATAAAATATTACATATCAAGTAAAAGTGTATAGAAAGGAAAGCAAAGGAATTAAAGACAAGGAATTCAGAAAGGATGTGGGGGATGTGGGGTGAGATAACAGACAGTAAGATGTAGGCTGTTTTCCTAGCTTTTTTGGGAACACTGTTTTGCTTAGGCCTCTCCCTGCCCGCTCCTCTCCTAAACAGTTCACACCTTCCGTTAGTGTTTTAAAACTGAACTATAATACAACTATAGGATGGTGATACCTGAGCCAGAATTGTTTCTAGCTCTTCGCAGGCAAGCTCTGCTATCTTTCCTTCCAACACATGATCTGAGATGAGTGTACCATCAGGCACTGGGCAGTTCCTCACAGACACTATCACAGCCACCGACGCTTTCCCTCTTTATATTCCTAAGGTTGTTATGGGGAATCTACACATGCAAAACAACTTATAATGGAAAAAGTTCTGAAATAGAAGACTGGTTTAAGAAAATGAAGTGCCCCATTCTGACAATGTAATGACTCAAAAATCGGGGTAGAATGCAGAGGACTCACTCCAACTCCTGGCCTCGTTTCTCCTGTGATACGGGCTGGCAATACTTTGCCTTTATTACCACTGGCTAGCGGGTTTACTGCACCCTGCGGCCATAAGTCATGAATGAAACACATTCAGGTTAGATAAAGTGAAAGAGAAACAGGAATGAAGTTATCTGACTTCAGGGTTTGTTTAGGGTCAGCCCATTATGGTAACACTGATTAGATAATCATTTTTCCAGCTCAGAGGAAAAATTTACCCAGCAATTCCTAACTCTCTATTTTGTGTCCCTCAAGTTGGGCCTACTTATGGTCAGGTCTTGAAATCTGAGAAGATCTGGTTTCTTCCTACTTTCAGGCTAGAGGAAAGTGAATTTCAGTCTCTCTGTAGACCAGTCACCTCTGTCCCCAAACTATACTTCCAGCAAATATTGAGCCAAATATTCATCAGATCTATGACTTAAAATCTCCTGATGCCCAAATACAACTAAATGAAAATCTTACCTGATTTTTAACCAACTCTGATGCCCAAAGGCCAAGTTGCATTTATCTCCACTGTTCTTTGGGAACTTAGACGTTTAACCATTAACTATTATTGGCATAGCTATTAGAACATATAACCAATCCCACCACAGTTTTATAGCATTTTTATCATATGGAAACTCAAGCAATGAAACAATTTGAAACTCCCTTTCCTTCCTCCTGCCCTCCCCTCCTTTTTTTTCTCACCCTGGCCATTTATCCACTCTCCCTTCACCTTCCACCCTTAGAAGCATCCATGAGTCCAAATAGATCAGAACAAGAAAGGATGTGGGAAACATCAATCCAAGACTCTCCTTTCAAAGATGAGGGGACTGTCATCTTCATCTAGTTTACTTCCCAGGAAAGGTCGAGAGAAAGAAGTCAGAAAACAGACGATAGCAGGATCAGAAATGTGTGTCTCTCTTCTTGAAGCTTTTTGTTTATTGAAATAAAAACTTTTGCATTTACTGGACTAGGACTCTCTCTCGCTGGCCTATCCAGCATAATATTAAGTCATGAGAACAAAACGGCATGGGAAAACAAAATAGGCCCAGTCTCTGCCTCCAGTTCAGCAGCTCCCATTTGGGCCTATCGGGTCCTTCTTCTGTTTCTCAGGCCAGTTATTTATTCAACAACCATGCCTCTAGCACACACATGATTCCTCAGGCTAAGGACACACAGGGTGACTGTGCCCTCATATTCTCATCTCCAAGGTCTAGGGTGAGGGCCAAGGCACTACATTTCTAATACGCTTCTAGGCGATGCTAATATTGCTGGTCCTTGAATAGCAGAGTAGAGGTTAGATGAATGGGAGATAAAGCTACAGCCAGAGAGGGGAGACTAGTAGTCATGGGACTCATGTAAGCTTTATGTGAGCAATGGTGACGGCCCCCATTAAGAAGTAGGGGGGCGGAAGGAGATGGCTACAGAAATGTTTTAGAATGGAAGGGATTGAAGACTGATTTAAGAGAGGGTGTGATAGAAAGAAATAACTCAAGGGTGATACCAAATTTCTCACTTGGGAGTCTGGGAGATAGGGATGGTGTTGCTACCAACCAAGACAGGGAATTTAACAGTTTCAAAATGATTAGCGAGACTGTGGAGGCTGGGCAGAAACAGGTAACAGAGTGAGGTGAATGGCATTGGAGGTACTATAAGACATTCAAGTAGAGAAGATCAGAAGGTAGTTTTGGATATCTGAGTCTGAAAATTGGGGAGAGATCTAAGCTACAGATTTATGAAATTATAGATTTTTAAATTATCAGAATAAATTACAGTAAAAACTATGAAGGAATAAATCACCTTTGTGTCAGCAGAGAATGCAAAAAGAAGTCTAGGGATTGACCCCTAAGATTCATCAATAGTGAGAGAATAAATGAAAAAGATTCAGAGGTCAAGAAGAAACAGAGGTAGAGAAGGGACAGCTGGGAAAAGAGCAGGTGTGCCAAGATAGAGTGATGTCTCAGAACTGAAGGAACTGAGCTTTAAAGGAGTGGCCAGTGATGTCATGTACCCTAGAGAAGTCAAGTAAAGGGCTAAATTCTTTGTAGGAAGCATCTGTCTCTTTGTTAGACTTTCCTATTGAGTGGTAATGGTGGTGATGATGGTGGTGATGGTGATGGTGGCGGTGATGGTGGTGGTGGTGGTGGCAGTGATGGTGGTGATGGTGGTGGTGATGGTGGTGGTGGTGATGATGATGGTGGTGGTGGTGGCAGTGATGGTGGTGATGGTGGTGGTGATGGTGATGGTGGTGGTGATG